CATGCCCAGCCAAGTTTTTGTGTTTTTTGTAGAGGTGGAGTTTCACCAGATTGCCCAGGCTTTCCTCAAACTCCTGGGCTCAAGTGATCTGTCTGCCTTGGCCTCCAAAAGTGCTGGGATTACTGACATGAGCCACCACCCCTGACCTATAATTGCATTTCTAAAGAGCTAAATAGGAAGTGGGGAGAAGAAAAATGGGGGTTCTCAATTATATGATAGGCTTATGACCCATTTTGTTTTATTTTTAATTTTTGTAAAGATGGAGTTTATGTTGCCCAGGCTGGTCTTGAACTCCTGGCCTCGAGTGATCCTCCTGCCTTGGCCTCCCAAAGTGCTGGGATTACAGGCATGAACCAACATGCCTGGCGTATTTTGAGTTAGGTTTTTGAATATGTTGTTAGGTAGTAGCCCAACTTTATTCTTCTACATGTGGATATTCAGTTGTACCAGCGCCAGTTGTTGAAAAGACAATTCTTGCTTCATTGAATTGTCTTGCCAACATTGTAAAAAAAATCAGTTGACTGTAAATGTAAGATTTTCTTTTTCTATTCCTGTTCTATTGAGAAATAATTCACATTACTATTCATATAATACTATATGATTCACTTTTTTAAAGTGTGTAATTCAGTGGTTTTTAGTGTATTTACAAAATGGACAATTGGCACCACTATCTGATTCTAAAATATTGTTATCACTCCCGAAAAGAAACTCTGTATGCATTAGAAGTCATTCACTCCAGCCCCTGACAACCACTGATCTACTTCTTGCCTTTATGGATTTACTGGTTGCAACTTGTTCTATTCTGTTCTATATGTGTGTTCTTCTTCCAATATTATTGCACTGTCTTGATTATTATAGTTGTATAGTAAGTTTTGGAATCAGGAAGTATAAGTCTTCCAACTTCTTCTTTTTTAAGATTGTTTTAGTAATTCAAAGTCCTTTGTATTACCCTATGAATTTTAAGATAAGTTTGTCAGTTTCTACAAAAAAAAAAAATTGAGATTTTGATAAGGATTGCATTGAATCTATAGATCAACTTGGGAAGTGTTGTCATTTTAATGATATTAAGTCTTCTTAGATTTTTTTTTTTTTTTTTGAGATGGAGTCTCACTCTTTTACCCAAGCTGGAGTTCAGTGGCTCAATCTCTGCTCACTGCAACCTCCACCTCCCAAGTTCAAATGATTCTCCTGCCTCAGCCTCCGAAGTAGCTGGGATTACAAGCACCTGCCACCACGCCCAGCTAAGTTTTGTATTTTTAGTAGAGATGGTGTTTTACCATATTGGCCAGGCTGGTCTCAAACTCCTGACCTCAGTGATCCACCCACCTTGGCCTCCCAAAGTGCTGGGTTTACAGGCATGAGCCACTGCGCCCAGCCTCTTTTTATGAATTAAAAATTAAGACATGGTTTGTGCCTTTAACTAGCTTGCAGTTTAGTCATGACAAGAATCAACAAAGTAATATAGTAATAACAATGAAAAACACAACAAGAATTACAAATACTGCTTTTTTTTTTTTACTACTCATTATTACTAACACCAGTGGTAGTCTCTACAATAATTTATTTTACTTGTATTATCTCATTTAATCCTCACAAAATTATTTTGAAGTTGAGAAAAATTAGCCATATAAAGAAGAGTATGATAAATTTTCTAAAGGAGATAAAGAGAAAGGATACCTCTTCTGGATTTTAGCAAGGAGAGCTTAGAATTAGATTGCTTGAAAAAATAAGTAGAGTTTTGATTAGAAAAAATAGGGTTTTTGAAAAATTGTCTCCTGAAGAAGTGGTATCTGGTATCTGCAGCATTTTGAATAACCAAAAGAACTTTGGTGATGATAATTGTGGTTGAAGTTTGCACATATTTTGGAGTGGCTTGCTCATATTACTAGAGTGAGAAAACAGGAAAAGGGAAAGGTAGATGATACGAGAGAAAATGGAGGGAATGGTAGACTAAGTCCCTAAACACGCAATGTTAGCACTAAAGTGAGAGTTAAAGAAGAATGGGGAAAGATGTGGAGAATTACGCAGATAAAGAAGTAAACTTTAATTTGATGACTTTGATTTTCAGAGTGGATTTGAAAGTAATATTATTTTCAGAGTGAATTAAAAATTGAGGGATGAAGTTAAGATCCAGAGAAGAATTAGGAAGGTTGGAATAACTGTTGTGACTATGATATGATATTAAAAACAAGCATGATTTTCAGGCAGTAGTGTGAAGAAGCAGGCAAATCAAAGTTTCATGAATAGATCATGGAACTAATTAGACTAGTTTTAGTATTTTCTCCAGCAGTGTGTGGTAACCTGTTAGGAAAAAATAGAATAATTGAATGGTAAGATTTACCCAAAATTTGTATCTGGCAAGCTAATTGATAAAATAACAAGAATTAGCCAGAAAACCTAAGATATCACCAATGGCATTGTTGCAGTGGTGAACCACAAAGTATGTGAAGGAAGACAGTGGCCAAAGCTTGGTGACTGTTTGAGAGATTAATGTTGACCTTGAACAGATTAATGTAGTGAGATAGACATTTAAGAAGGTGGGATAAATATGTGTGCTTACGGGTGTGTGAGGTACTAAATTGAGATCTTTTCATCATTTGTATTTCTTTTGTAAAGACTGTGATGTTTCTCTGAGTCTTGAAGGTAGAATGGAAATAAATGCCTTTAGAGATGAGAGATTTAGAGAACTCTATGGCAGGAGTATTAAAAGACTAATTGAAGTTCATACTGAACGCAGCAAGGGTAGTGAAATGAACCAGGGGTCTTGGTAGATTGCAACTTTGAGGATGGAGAGAGATGGAATAAGTAGATGTTTTGTACTTAACAAAAGGAAAAGCTGTTGATAAATGCAGTGAAGTGATAGCTTATAATCTGTCATAGAGGGATCAGTATAATTTTTAAAATAAAGTCTAATATTTTGAAAAGGAAATAATGTTTGGAAAATTGTTTCTGTTCATTATTTTTCCTAAGGTTTATTTTGTGTAGTAACTATACTTGCTCAGGTGACAGTAAATAAGAATATTTTATCCATGCAGGAGGAACCTTTGTGTTCCAGACTGCATTTATGTGATCTTCAAAGAGTAAGAATTGTGTTGGTCTTATTTGTGTTTATAGTCTGAACCCTAACAGAGCCAAACATGTATATCAGTATGTATTCACTGAATGATTGAAGGTTCAGTAAGTGGATTGTATTGAGAGAAGTACACTTAAATAATTAGGCCTTGGTACTGAAAGCTAAACCGAATTGCAGCTCAGAAAATTTGGCATCTATTTGTTTTTAATGCCCTGATCTGCTGTGAAACAAGGTCTTGGTAGGTCAACTAGCAGGCTGTAAACAAAGAGGACATTTTGATGCAGTTTAAATCTCTTACCTCAGTAGCTCTTGTTACTATTTCCTGCCCCCCTTGTTTTCTTCCAAATTATGTGGTAAGATATAGCATAGCAGGGCCCTGTGGCCTTTATTGAAATGAAATTTCTCTTTCATTCTATGTTACCTCTTATAATTCTCCCTTGCTCCCTTGTGTTCAGACTTTATAACATGGCATATACACTCTACAGTCTAATCCCTTCCACCTTTTTAGCCTTATTGTTCTTCTGTCTGCCTATTTTTCATTTAAATTTCTTTCTTTTTTAAGAGAACATGTATGCTGCTAAAGTTTCATTTAAATTTCACAAACATATATTGATCCTTTGCTGTGTCCCAGGTATTGTATGACATTGAACTATACCAATCTGTAGTTTTTCCTCTGTGTCTTAAACTTTCTCACCTTCTTTGTTACAGAAAAAACAAACTCTTTGTTACAGGATTTTTCCTGTATACAGGACTCCCTCCTCCCCACTTCCTCTGTCCACCTAAATTGCCAGCTTTTCAAGATCGCCTTCCTTCCTCATTCTTACCTATATCAAGAATACTGTTTATTTCTCATGTATGCAGTTACACAAATAAAAATACATCCATCTCCTACTCCACTGCCTAATAATAAACTCCTTGAGAGACGGGACAGAGCATTGTAAAATCTTTGTTTCTCCCTTTCATAAATGTTTGTAGTATTATATCTATTTGAGATGGTAGGAAGAAATAGTAGACCATAGTGTGAGCGAGGGAATTACTAATGCCTAAAAGAACCGTGGACTTGTATATTCCAATTCGTTTAATGTCATTCAATTCTTTCAAAATTTGATATCTTGTATAACGGTTGCTTGACTTTATAGCCTTCATCAAATGAAACTTCTAGGAAGATACCCTGAGTAGCCTTGGAATTTCTTGATTATAGGGCATAAGCCACATTTTCAAATACAATTCTGTTTTGTTTTTCTTTTTTCACAAGGCCTATGACTTTGCATACAAGTCCTAATCTCTAAACAGCATTTGGTGCAGAAAGAAGTCATTAAAAAGCCGCAGTGAGAAGAATAAAGTATTTTAACTGATAGCTATTTCAGAAAGAATGTGGGAGTTACACATCTTCTAAACCCTATTGAGGAGATTTTGGTGCCAACAGTGAGATCTGGTACTGTGTCCTAAATTTTGTGGGGTTTTTTTGAACAAATCTTTAATACCTCATGTCCTTTTCAACTTCTTTTTCTGTTGTGAGAGAAAATGGAATTTATATGCCTACAGCTTTTCTGGAACAAAATAATTGTTTTAATAGGAGGAAGACTTATCCTTTATACAATGTGTTGTGTTAGACATGGTTTGGAAGGTAAATATAATTGGACCAGAAAATTGGAAATACTGTACTTTTTTATTATTCATGGACCGTCTAGATATCACATATGTATAAGTCAAATTTCTCAGGTGTAATATAGTGTGGTATCTAATAACAAAGAATTCGTCAATTTAAAGGTGAAAGTATAGTATTTCTAGCACTTATTTTGTAATTTGAAACTTAAAACTCTATCAGCTGGTTAAAAGATTATAATCAAGGGCTAAAATTTTATATTCTCTTTTATTAATGTCAGGACAAAGTCCAGATTGAATATAAGTCTACTTTATTTTATAGGCATATGAAGAATACACCAGCAAGCTAGATGCACTCCAACAAAGAGAGCAACAGTTATTGGAATCTCTGGGAAACGGAACTGATTTTTCTGTTTCTAGCTCTGCATCAATGGACACCGTTACATCTTCTTCCTCTTCTAGCCTTTCAGTGCTACCTTCATCTCTTTCAGTTTTTCAAAATCCCACAGATGTGGCACGGAGCAACCCCAAATCACCACAAAAACCTATCGTTAGAGTCTTCCTGCCCAACAAACAGAGGACAGTGGTGAGTCAGTTTTAATATCACCATTTTGCTGTTTCTTTGTATTTTTCAGAAAGATCAGTTGTTGAAAATCAATACATTATTACTTCATACTCAGAAGTCATGCAAATAGAGGCATCCATGCCATGTAGGAATGAAAAAGACATAATTTACTTGGTGCCAAAGTCCAACTTCCTTAACTGAAATAAATTGTATTGTCATTTGTGTTGGATTTGACATTTAAACCTGTCTGCCAAACTTGAACCACAGTCATATGTTAGCACTAGTTTAAAATAAATCAGGATTTTAAGACTTGAACTTGTTCATTGTCTAATGTGTGTCAGGTAAGATTCTTTCTTCACCCTTGAGAAATCTCCTTTCTGAGTTACATTATCCGATGTTGAACTTTCAGTGTGATTGATGTGTTTCCCCTCATCTACTTAACCTTTGGTTGTTGAATATTAGTATTACCATTGGAACAATGAACCCTGTAAGCAACATTTAAAGCAGAGAAATCTGTGGAATTATTGTGGGTGATCTATAATTCTTAAGTGCAACAAATATTGTCAGTAGACTTAAGCAATGCATCTATATACATCACTACTTTTTTAATGTCTATGACATTACTTTTGACAATAAAAAAAATTTCATTTTCAAATACAACTGAAGTCAAAGTTTTTCATTTTTCTCTCTGACAACAGAAATTAAAAGTACAACTGCTCATTGTTTAATATCCCAAAAATTCCTTTCTGACTTAAGAAAAAAATGTTATTATCAAAGCATTTTACTCTCAGAAGTTAAGAATTCCTGCATATGAGTTTAGAAAATTAATGGAGTTGGCTGGGCACGGTGGCTCACGCCGGTAATCCCAGAACTTTGGGAGGCTGAGGTGGATGGGTCACCTGAGGTCAGGAGGTTGAGACCGGCCTGGCCAACATGGTGAAACCCTGCCTCTACTAAAAATACAAAAATATTAGCCAGACCTGGTGGCACATGCCTGTAACTCCAGTTACTCGTGGGGCTGAGGCTGAAGAATCTCTTCAACCTGAAAGGTGGAGGTTGTAGTGAGCCAAGAATACGCCCCTGTGCTCCATCCTGAGTGGCTGAGCAAGACTCAGTCTCAAAAAATTAAAAAAAAAAAAGCCAATGGAGTTAGGAGTTTTCAGCCAGTAAGTTTTTATCTTAGGAAATATGGCTTTCTAAAGGCATCATGTATTGTCAGGGAATAAAAAATATGACCTTCAGTCATACTTTTCCTGCCCTTTTTCCATGAACAGACAGGGTTGGTTGTAAAAAATGAACTCTAATTATTCACTGTGCAGAATTACAAATTGAGCTCTCCCACCCTTTCTCTTTCTTCTATTGGGTAGAATGAAATTAAAATGATATTTTTCCACATTAAGATGGGGAATTACGCCGGGCGCGGTGGCTCACGCTTGTAATCCCAGCACTTTGGGAGGCCGAGGCGGGTGGATCACGAGGTCAAGAGATCGAGACCATCCTGGTCAACATGGTGAAACCCCGTCTCTACTAAAAATACAAAAAATTAGCTGGGCATGGTGGCGCGTGCCTGTAATCCCAGCTATTCTGGAGGCTGAGGCAGGAGAATTGCCTGAACCCAGGAGGCGGAGGTTGCGGTGAGCCGAGATCGCCCCATTGCACTCCAGCCTAGGTAACAAGAGCGAAACTCCGTCTCCAAAAAAAAAAAAAGATGGGGAATTACTAAGCAATATCTTTCCAGGGATGCCCCACTTAAAAGGGGAATATCAGGTAAAATTATATATGAATTATCTGTGAATAGATATTCTATCTTTGAAGCAGTCTGTGTTAACAAAACTGTGGCAAACATCCCATCCCCAGTAGATCTTAAATTAATTCTTTATTGTCTGTATTCATGAGCAGAAAGGAGGAAATGTGTTCTTCAGTCCTAGGCATTTCCCTTCTCTTCATCAGAATATTCTTGTTCCTTCCAGATACTACTAAACTTAGTAATTATGTGAGTTCCTGTATACAAACGTAAAACTTGAGTTGTTGGGGCCTTTCAAATTTCTCAGCCTAATGATTAAGGTTAACTAGCCTCCTCATATTTATGAGAGAGGCCAAGAGTAATTTATAAGTATCACTAAAGCTTATAATTTCCCTTTTAAAAAGAAATAAAAAACAGCTGAGACTCTTAACGATGTAAAATGATCATAAATGAATAACTAATAGGGAATTGACTAGGCCTACCATAATTATTCTGGCTAGGCTTAAATTAAATACATAACTTGTTCTTGTCCATCATATTCCCAGTTTAACAATTTGTATTTAGTACTCAGAAAAATTGTGTATCATAAACTCATCAGTAAATGGGTTTGTGATATTAAACTCTGTCAAGCACATTATTTTACCATTCTCTCTTTTATCTGAATCTGTTAACCCTTTACTTAACTACCTCTTCTCTCCTTTTCTTCCCTCAATTCTTATTAACAGTTATTATTTGAGCATTTGCCATGCTGTGTTCCAAGTTCTGTGCTAAGGGCTTTACATATATAGTCTCAGCCAGGATAATTCACATTCTAAGTAAAATTGTTTGTGGTAGTGAACAACATGTCCTCCATAAAAATACATATGTTTCTGTTTGTCCTGAACACTCAGGAACAAAGGGCAATAGAACCTACTAACAGTAAATGAAATCAAGTACCAAGGATGAGATTATATTTTTTTAAGGTGGACTTAGATTTATAGTCCAAGATAGCACACTTGCTTTTATATCTTTGTTCCTCTCCAGAAATTTCATTGACATGATAGTAAAGATATGTAACAAGAATAATAGGATAGGATTCTGTCAGAGAACTAGAAATTTTTAAGAATTCCTGGAAGATGGAAAATATATGAATGGATACATGAATAAGCCAAAATAGAAAACCAAACAAAATACTAGGAGCTAGATTCTTACATGAAGGGAGCCATTCTTAGCAAAATCCTGATGAAGCAGATAGCATAGTCAGCAGGTTACAAATAAGTGGATTTGCCTGTTGGGTAGTAATCAGAGTAATTAGTCGAAAGTCTTGCTCTGGCAGGAAGACAAAGTCATAGGTCTTCACAAATCAGGCAGGTAATATAAATTTGAATGTTTTGAAGGTTTGTGTTAGTTGTGAGTCCTGTGGAGAACCAAAGCAAACCAGACTCAACTAAAAACATTAAAATTCTGAATTCAAAAAAAGTTGTTTAAATGTCCTGGCCAGATATTTTGAGATAATGGGCCGCTGAGTCCTGAGTCCCCAGTAGAGCCTTACATTGCACATGTCCATAGAGATGTGAATGTTGTCTCCTGGAGTTGTACAACAAGGGGATCCTGTTAGTTCGTTGTCTGTATATATGGAACAAATAATTTATAGCATTTATTCCATTAAAAAGCTCTAAAAATTGTTTTCTAAACAAAATTTCTGCCCGGAGAATTCTGTATGACTGCTGTATGTGTTTAAATGGTGGAACTGAACATCAGTTGTCTCTGAACCTCAGATAAATCCAGTGGGGTAAAAAGTAAAGGTTAATCTACCCAGGAGTAAAAGAGTACTCTGTTTCCATCTGAAGTATACCAGACTTTTTCTCACCTCTGTACCCATCGGTAATCTGTTTGGAAGACAAACTGCTTTCTCATACTATACTGTCAACACAACACATTTTTGTGACCAGATGTTGGGGGTGTTTTTCCCCACCAGCCACTCTCCAGTTCTCTGTAGGTAGCAACTGGCTTTCCATACCCAGTTGTCTACAATTGTTGTTAAATTGTCTTCAATTTAACTCACCTCTGACACTATCTACCCAGGGATAGTGTAGACCCCACAGGTTGAGAGCTCAGCCCCACAAGACTGTCCCCCTCTTGAGATGCTGGTCACAAGTTCCAGGTTGCGACCTATACTTCTGACCAGCTGGCTATAAATAAAGGATTCCCACATCTTCTTCAAATCTTTGATCATTTGCTAAAATATCTCACAGAACGTAGAGAAACACTTATAGTTATTTACTAGTTTGCTATAAAGGATGTTACAAGAGGTAAAAGATGTTACAATGACAAACAGCCATGTAGAAGAAGCGCATAGGGAAAGGTATGTGGGAAGGGATGCAGAGCTTCTATGCTCTCTTTAGGAGCATTACTCTTCACTATCTCCAGATATTCAGTACCCTGGAAGCTCTAGGAACCTTGCATTTCAGTTATTTTTATGGAAGCTTCATCATATAGGTGTGATATTTACTAGGTCAATCTCCAGGACCTCCTCCCTTCTCAGAGGTTGGTGGATGGGGCTGAAAGTTCCAGGCGTCAAATCATGGCTTGGTCTTTCTTTTGACCACCTTCCATTCAGGAACCCACCAAGAGTCACCTGATTAAACAAAAGATGCTCCTATCACCTAGGAAATTCCAAGGGATTCAGAGCTCTGTATCAGGAACCAAGGTCAGAGGCCAAATATGAGAACAAAAGATGCACCTGGCACCCTGGTCACTCAGGAAATTACAAGAGTTTTAGGACCTCTGTACCTGGAACTGGAGTTGAAGACCAAAATATATATTATTATAAACCACAATATCACAGTTTGTCAACATAACAAACCACTTGCCATTTAGAAGATACGTTTATTGGACTTATACAACTGTATAGGAGTAAGTCCATACCAAATCAATCTAATTTTCATTTATAAATATGACTAGAACACCAACAGCAACAGTGAAAACTCAAGAAATAAAGCAAGTAGAACGTGTAAAAATGTTATTGCTCAGGATGCACTTCATTCTTGAAGCCAAATCAGTTTGGTATAAAAGTTGAGACAGAGGACCACAGAATTTATGAAAATTAAAAGTATGATTGTTGACTTTTGTTAAGCAGAAAGGCAAAATATTGGGATAGAGTTAATGAGTATCTTGGAAAGTAAGCTAAAGACATACCTTTTAAGATATTAGATAAAGGGGGCAAATATGAAAGAAAAGATAAGGGACATGAAGAGAGCAAAAGTTCCAACTTCTGTTTAATAAACAAAGAAGCAAA